GCTTTGTCATGCTGATCAAGAATATACATACACTAGCAGGTCTTGCCCGTCTTTGCTGGGCTAAGTAAAATGTGCTTATAATTATAAGTTTATTTACTATATGATATTCTTCTTTCGACGCTCTCTAAAGTTTTTTAAAGAGTTCATTTACCAAATAGCAAAAAAAGTACAATAAGTACTATGTATGGTTATACGTACATACATACATACATATGTACATATCTTCGTTACGCACCGGGCCGACTGCCAGTCCTGACTTAACTGTGTGCTTCCTCAGCACGTTGTACGCACGGTCGAATTATCCCCGAAAAGTCCGAAGTGGGACATTGAATTTTGATTTATAAATCCGGATGTCCCGCCAAAATTGAAGCGTTCGGCAACGCTGATATGTACATACATTTAAATTTTTCATGCAGGCGTTATCCGCCTATATACATACATACATATATAAGTATGTATTAAATTTTTAAATTCAACACTAATTTGTGTCTTCAATTCCAAATATGATTGCTGTGAATGTAAAAGGTGTGTTTCTGCTTTTGTTAATCGCATGAATACACTACAAAATAGGCTTAACGGTAAATGGCTCTTAGATTTGTTCAGAATACATTTTTAGCGTTGTTAGCTAACACTAAAATGGTAAGTCGCTGTAAATATGCGATCAGCTGAGATGCTAGAGATGGGCATGTGTCGAATGATCTATGTGTTAGAACATCAAAACTATCGATAGTTGAATCCGTCGATACAATCAATAATTCCATCGAAGTTTGAATGCAATTAACAGAAAATTTAAATAATAACATCTTATAATTTATTGAGATAAATTAGAACAAATCATATAGAATCATACATATGTACTACATATCTATGTACATCTGCACGTAACGCGAAGCAGAATATACGTAGGTCCGCTTTCGGCTTCTGCTTTACTATCGCTTACGCAGTCGTTGTCTAGCGACGGTAACTGTAAACTTTTGGAATTTTGCCTTTGAAATTAACAGGCGTAAATGATCAAAACGAAAACAGAAGCGCGAGCCAATGACTTGCAGTTGTTCTTGTTTTTCGTTTTAAAATTTTGATTTAAAACCATATAACATTATTTATTACAATCAAACAACAGTGCTTGATTGTCCAATGTATACATACATACATACAGACGAATGTACATACATGCTATATACATATGTACGTACACAGGCATACATACATACATATGTATGTACATATGTATGCATGTTTCTCTTTACTTTTTCAACCGGACGTAGAGAACCGCACACATAGACACGAACTTTTGCGTTCTTTGTAATTTGTTGTTGCTGCATAAAGTTACTAATGAAAACCCAATTGCCAAATGTACTAAAGAAAGAAAAAATTACTTTTAAAAATGTTAAATAATTTTTTAATTAATTAACATTTTTTGCTCTGTCAGTGCAAGACGAATGAACATACATACATACAAAGATATGTATGTACATGTACTTAAATGTGTACATATGTATGTGTGTACATTCACACATTAGTGTCACATAATAAAATATTTAAAAAACCAAGTGCATCTTTCTTTTATTGTTTATAGAAACCAATGAAAAATAACGAATGAATTATTCAAACAAACTTTGGAGCTAGTTTTCCCCTCATTGGATCTCGAATTTTCCAAAAATCCCTTCTTAGTGCGCACGTACACTATGATAGGATACTTGAGCCCAAATTTCAGCTTCCTAGCTTTTACCGTTTGGGCTGTGCGTTTATCACCAATCAGCCAGTCAGTCAGTCAGTCAGGACAAACTGTCTGTTACATTTTATCTTTATCAAGTATGTAATCTTACTTAAAATATTTGTAGTAGTATTTGGAAGGTAAAATATGTATAGGTAAAATATGTATGATATAAAAAATAACATTTTAAGCTGCATCGGCCGGGAATCGAACCCGGGCCGCCCGCGTGGCAGGCGAGCATTCTACCACTGAACCACCGATGCCTACGGTTTCATTTTATCAAAATGATTATAAGCGTAAAACCACTGTCGGGCAATAAATACCATTATATATATATATAAATATACATATGTATGTATGTACATACATACAAATGTGCTTTCATGTGTATTCACAAATAAAACAAATTCTGATGAGCTTGAACAAAACTACAAGCTAATTTTAGTCATAGTGGTCAAAATAAACGGTACTTTTAATTATTGCTATAAGCAAGAGATAAGATGGTTAAAAATGTTGGTAGAAAAAAAAAACAAGATAGAACGCTACAGTCGAGCAAGCCCGACAGTAAAATAGCCTGTACTCTCCACAAAAAAGAAAAATTAAAAAAATTAAAAATTAAAAAAATTAAAAAAAAAAAATTAAATTATTAAAAAAAGTTAATGAATTAATTAATTAAATGAAATTAGAATACATGTTTATGTTCAGTTTTAACAGCATACATTTACATCACGTACCTATACGTGTTTATATGCGTGTATGTATGCAGCACAAAGTTGAACCAAAGCAGCAACAACAACAGCTGCGGGCAGCGCTGCCGACAGAGCTGCAGGCAGCGCATTAGCAGCGATTTTACTTATGGCTATAACTTTCTTCAGAATTGACCTATCATGATGAAATTTGGCATACGGACACATTAGTACTAACTGGATGTACCTACCAAAAGTGATTTCAAAATTCCGAGAATTACGGAAGTTATAAGAAAAAACACGAATTGCGGAGGAATGGGGGGGTGCATCGAAAAAAAACTCAAACTCGTACTTTCTCGGTCTTAGGAGAATATGGAAACCAAGTTTGGTTATTCTAGCTCTTATACTTTCTGAGATCCTTGCGTTCATACGGACAGACGGACAGACGGACGGACGGACAATGCTATATCGACTCAGCTTCTCATCCTGATCAAGAATATATATACTTTGTGGGGTCTGCCACGCCTCCTTCTGCCTGTTACATTTTTCAGCTCGCGCAAACCTAATATACTCTTGTACATTTCATGTACAGAGTATAAAAATTGGGTAGGAAAGAACAACACGTCTAATACAGCTCACACCAAAAATTTAGCCGTCTGTCCGTCCGTATGAACACCTGGATCTCAGAGACTATAAGAGATAGAGACACCAAATTTTGCACAAAGATGCCTTATGTGTGTATTCTATACAAGTTTGCTTTATTTTTTTGATTTTCCCCCCCACTTCCCCCCAATGGGGGTTTTCCCGATTTTCCATTCGTATAATCGCCTATATCTCGGAGACTATAAGACCTAGAAACACAAAATTTTAGTCCTTCTTGAAAAACTGATGACCTTTCAGTTACAGCACCATTGCAGGTCCATAATTTCCCCTTTTCAACATGGATTTATGAAACGCCACTCTACCGCAACAAATCTCCTTGAATTCTCATCGTTCGTTATGAATGGGTTTTTTAGCTAAGAGCCAGACGGATGTTGTATACACTGACTTCAGCAAAGCTTTTGATTCTGTCAATCATGAGCTATTGATCCATAAGTTGGGTCTTTTGGGATATCCCAAAAATCTTATCGTATGGATATATAGTTATTTGTTTGGCAGAACACAACGTGTAATTTTTAACGGCGTACTGTCAAAAGCTATTAAAGTAACTTCGGGGGTCCCACAGGGTAGTCATTTAGGTCCTCTACTGTTTACTCTTTTTATAAATGATCTGCCATAATCCCTAACTTACTCTCGTGTACTAATGTATGCCGACGACGTAAAACTTTGCCTCTCATATAACGATGTTCAGCTTGATCTCAATGCCTTCCAATTGTGGTGTTCGCGGAATCTGTTGAACTTAAATTTTGTTAAATGCAAGCTAATGACGTTCCACCGATGCAAGCCTCATTTCATATTATTTAAATAACTCTCCTGTAGAACGAATTTTCACTGTTAACGACCTAGGTGTACTGTTTGATGCTAAACTTTGTTTTAATGATCACATCTCCACCATTGTTAATAAAGCAAAGGGAACTCTAGGCTTTATTAAAAGTTGGGCAAAGGAATTTGATGACCCCTACACAACACTAATTTTGTATACGGCTTTGGTGCGGCCTACCTTAGAATATTGTTGTAATCGTCTGGTGCCCGCAATATGAAATACATAAAAATCGCATTGAATCGGTTCTAAAGCCATTTCTTTTGTTTGCCTTACGTGGTCTTGGATGGAGTAGAACTGACCCTCTACCATTATTATTGTATTGTTTTTATACATAAATTAATTACCGGCGACATCGAGTCTTCGGTGCTTGTCAGCCAAATTAACTTTACGGTACCACAAAGACCTTCAAGATTTTTTGTTCCCATAAGCCTAAATCGCTGTACAAGCAACTATGCTTTGCACAGTCCGTTTCGGGTTCTGTGTAGCAACTACAATAATAGTTCGATTAAATCTTGCTTACTTAATTTCCTGATCCAGTCTGAATCTCTTTAAATCAGTTGTAATTCTATTTAATTTAAATTTTTATTTTTTATGTTTTTTTCCAATATTTGAATGTATATCTAGTCTGTTATTTCTTTTCTTTATGTTTAACATTGACAGTTATTTGTCAATTAAATAAATAAATGTGTTCGTGTGCCAAGTTTCACTATGATAGACCGATTTAACAAGAAGTTATAGCCATAAATATATTTACTGCTGCAGCGCTGCTCAAGCGCTGCCCGCGGCTGTTGTTGATGCTGGTGCTTTGGTTGACTGCACACATGTTTACATAGACACGAATAGATGCGCATCGGCATACATACACTCACACAGACGCAATTGCGATGTAAATGTGCAATTATACACCACTTACGTGAGTTCGAATACCGAGAAAGGTAAAATCGATCAAATTTTTTTTTTAATTTTTAAGTTTTTTTTTGTTGTCTATAGTTATTGTAAACATATGTACAGAGTATTTCAAAGTCGGGACACCCGACTTTAGCTTTTTTTACTTGTTTTTTATCAAAACAGAAACCGATGTGTATGTAGAACATGTTCTTGTCAATTTACTTTGCAGATACATTCCTCCACGGCTTTGGGGATTCAGCGGCCATGTGCAGACTGTTTTACATAGCATTGTTGGGCGTGTGCGTTGCCCTTGGCCCTTGGGTGAACGCGTTTATATGTGGCTAGATGATGGATCAACGTTAACATATGATTTGTATCAATCACTTAATGAAGCAGAAGGTACATTTTCAAATACTGTTGGTAACCATCATATATATATATATATTTTTTTTATCATTGCCTTATAGATGACATAACAATTGCCATTTGTCCGGGCATCGCCAACAGTTCTGAAAGCGTATATATACGAACTTTTGTACACTTGGCTCAATGCAGTGGATACCGTTGCGCCGTACTGAACCATATTGGAGCACTTCGCAGTGTTCAGGTGACATCAACACGCATTTTCACTTATGGCCACACAGAGGATTTCGCCGCCATGGTGGAACATTTGAATGAAAAATATCGTCGGAGTCGCATCGTTGCAGTCGGTTTCAGCTTAGGTGGTAATTTAATTACCAAATATTTTGGTGAGCTAGCAAAAAACAAACCGAACAGTGTAATAGGTGGTATCTCTGTATGTCAAGGCTATAATGCTGTCGAGTAAGTTAAAATCTACAATTTTTTTTTATAAAAGTATTTAAAGCATTTTTTTTTTTAGAGGGACTAAGTGGCTTTTGAATTGGCAAAATTTTAGACGTTTCTACTTGTATATTATGACTGAAAATGTTAAAAATATTATCTTGCGTCATCGCCATGTGCTGCTCTCCGACGAAGTTAAGGCACGTCATAATCTGAACGAACGTGAAATTATTTCGGCTGCAACCTTACCAGAACTGGATGAGGCTTATACACGACGAGTTTATAATTTCCCTTCAACACAGGAGCTCTACAAGTGGAGCTCATCTTTGTTCTACTTCGATAACATTGAGAAGCCAATGATTTTTATTAATGCTAAAGATGATCCCCTAGTGCCCGAGGATTTATTGAATCCCATAAAAGAGTATGCATGTATGTATTCCGCCAATTATTGATTGTATAAAATTGTGTTGTTACGTTAAGTACGCTATTATAATCGTATATACTAAATACACACACATAACATTTCCAATAATTAGTTATACAAATATTACGAAATATTATAATTTTTTATTTGTAGCAACACGACAAAATCTCGCCTACATTGAGGTTGCACACGGAGGTCATTTGGGCTTTTATGAGGGTGGTTTCCTATACCCCAATCCTGTAACTTGGCTGGATCGAACTCTGGTTGCTATGGTGGGATCTCTGGCATTGATGCACGCCGATATGAGAAAAGTTACTTCTTAATAGGTTAAAGATGCCCCAGCAGTTACCCAATAATACAATGCTTTATGTCAAAATTCCATGTTGCTGTCAAAACCGAATCGTATAAATAGTTTAACCACCTAATAACTTATGTATTAAGCGTTCTTCGTAGATAAAGACGTTGCAATGTGCATTTAAAAAAGAAAGCAGAAGGCACACTTTTGTACTATATACTCTCTTTTGGAAAAATTTTTGTAATAAGCAAATTAACAATTGCATTCGACATGATGTAAACAAACTTACGTAATTTATTTATAAAGAAGATCTAATATTAAAATGTTTTTACATTTCTTTTTTGTTAAAGCTTTATAATTTTATCCTATAAAACAAAAGCCAACATGTACGAGGTTATATTGATATTTAATAATTGCCTTATTGTACATTTTTGCAAACGTTTTATATACATTATTATACTTATATTATTTAAAGTAAATTTGTTTTTATATGAGTAGCGCTTTTAATAGACTACTTATATATGTGAAAGGCCGTAAGGGCGAAGGAATAATTTGTATACAAATTTTTGACGTATTTTATTCAACAGACGTGTGTGTATAACACGCATATATTTAAATCAAATATAAGAGAATGTTGTGTAAATGTACGTTATACCAATAAAAATTTGGTTTATAAAAACGACAACGCTGTTTTAAGCAAGAAAGGAATGATAGACTTGAGCGATCTGAACTCTTAACTATCCTGTACCCATCCCACAAAAAAAAAACAAATTTATAAAAAATGCAAAATGCATTAAAAAAATTTAATTTGTTTAATTAATGAACTAAATGAAATATAAACAAGAGAGAACGCTACAGTCGAGCAAGCCCGACAGTGTAATACCCTGTACCCAGGTAAACGTGCGTCACTGAGTTATATGCGCCCATAGCAGCAGCAAAAAGAGGAAGAAGAAGAGCGAACTTGTTGCTGCAGTTTGTGGGGGTTGTACTGGCGAAAATTTGTTTTGCTAATAAAATTTTGAACAACAATAGACAATTATATATAAATTATATTTGAAATGTGGACGCTATTGACGAAATTCTGTAGCGGGGGAAGGGGGGGAAAATTTAAAAAAAAAACATAAACTCGTCCTTACTCGGACCTAGGAGAATCTGGATGCCAACTTTGATTATTCCAGCTTTTATAGTTTCTGAGATCCTTGCGTTCATCCAGACGGACGGACATCGATTTCTCTCGTCATGCTGATCAAGAATATATATACTTTATGGGGTCGGAGATGCTTCCTTCTGTATGTTACATACTTTGCACAAACCTAATATACCCTTTTTACCCTACGGGTACAGGGTATAAAAATATTCAACACATGCATACATGTGTTTACCTAGCGGTACGGCATACCGGTCCAAACCGGTGCAAGTACCGGTCCGCCGCGCACCACCACTAGTCCGAACTTCATGCCATGCCTCCCTTAGTTTTTACACACGACGTCATACGAAGCGGACTATTGTCCGCGTCTCGCCAACATTGGACTGGTAAATGGAGCGGTCCCTTTTATATCGAGTGGACTACTCCATGGACCGGTCCGTTTTGGACTAGCTTTGGACCGGTCCGATACTACCCCTCTGCCAGACAGAACAAGTAAAAAAGTCGGGTGCCCTGACTTTAAAATACTCTGTACATATGTATGTTTAGAATAATTATAGAAATTAAAACAAGTAAAAAAGCTAAAGTCGGGTGTCCCGACAAAGCAATTGCGTCTATGTGAGTGTATGAATGTCTATGCGCATCTATTCGTGTCTGTGTAAACATGTTAGCAGTCAACCAAACAGCAACACCAACAACAGCTGCGGGCAGCGCTTAAGCAGCAAATATATTTATGGCTATAACTTCTTGTTAAATCGGTCTATCATAGTGAATACATACGGCATACGGACACATAATAACTAACTGGGGGTATTTGCAAAATTTTAGTTCGAAATTCCAAGAATTACGGGAGTTACGATTTGCTTGGGAGAGGGGAAAGGGAGGGAAATTCTAAAATTTTGTGTTCCTAGGTCTTAGTCTCCGAGATATAGGCGATTATACGATTGGAAAATCGGAAAAAACCCCATAGGGGGACAAATCAAAAAAATAAAACAAACTTGCACAGCGTACACACATAAGGCATCTTTGTGCAAAATTTGGTGTCTCTCAGAGATCCAGGTGTTCATACGGACAGACAGATTCTGTTCTGTGTCGATGTCCTACCGGTATGGCGCTGCCTTCCTAAAGGGACTGGTGTTGAAACTGATTGAGCTTAGGACCGGTCCATTGGTTGCCCATAGAGGACAATTGCCTCAAGCCGAACTGAAGGGTATGTACAATATCAACAGCATTCACTTATACTTACGTGTATGTTTGCAGTTTAGGCAAATTGTGCATCAGGCAAAGACCCAATAGGGTTGTTTATGCCAAATAATAATAAAAAGTATGTTTGCAGTAGAGGAATAAGTCAAAGCAGCAAAAACAACAGCTGCGGGCACTTGGCATACGGACACATAATCACTAAGTCAATGTGACTGCCAGTTTGAAATTCTAAGAAGTTATGGAAAAATCACTAATTTCGGGGGGGTGGGGGTAGCATCGAAAAAAAACTCAAACTCGTACTTTCTCGGACTTAGGAGAATCTGGATACCAAGTTTGGTTATTATAGGCCTTATTCTTTCTGAGTTTATTGCGTTCAGTCAGACAGACGGACATGGCTATATCGACTCGTCACACTGATCAATAATATATATACTTAGTGGGTCTGCCACACCTCCTTCTGTGTGTCTGTACAAAACTAGTATACCCTTTTACCCTTTGGGTACAGGCTATAAAAATGTCAGGAATCAACCCCATAACGTTATGTTAACGATTGCGGCCTTTTTATACCCAAAGGGTGAACGCGTATATTACTTAACTGCACTAAAGTGTAACACACAGAAGGAGCTATGACAGAGACAACAAAGTATTTATATGTATGTATTTATTCTTGATCAGCAATGCCAATCAATATACCCATGCCCATCTCCATTTATGAACGCAAGGCAAAGATCTCGGAAAGTAAAGAGCTACCAAACTTTGTATCCAGATTCTCATAAGTCCGAAAACGGATAAGTTTTTGTTTTTATAGCCTGTACCAAGGGGAAAAGGCAATACATACTAGTTTTATGCGAATGTATGTAACAGGCAGAAGGAGGCTTGGTAGATTTTACAAAGTACATATATTCTTGACTAGCATGACAAGACGAGTCGATATATATATAATTTGTATTTAATTAAATAGAATAATATAATTAATATACTTTTTTAAAATTAATTAAAAAATTTTTTTCTATTTTCTTTTTTGAGGGAGGTACAGGATATTTAAGAGTTGAGCTCGCTCGACTGTAGCATTCCAGAGTATAACTCTGTTCATGCAATGTACACGAGTATACTAGGTTTGCGGGAGATGAAAAATGTAAGAGGTATATATATTCTTGATCAGCATGTCGAGACGAGTCGATCTAGCGCTGTCTGTCTGTCCGTCCGTATGAACACCTGGATCTCAGAGACTATAAGAGATAGAGACACCAAATTTTGCACAAAGATGCCTTATGTGTGTATTCTATACAAGTTTGTTTTATTTTTTTGATTTTCCCCCCACTTCCCCCCTATGGGGGTTTTCCCGATTTTCCATTCGTACAATCGCCTATATCTCGGAGACTATAAAACCTATGGACACTAAATTGGGCATCTTGGACTAATGCCTTGTGTGAATACGCAGAAAATGTATATTTTGGAATTTTTCTCCCTCCCCCCTCTCCCACGCAAATCGCGATTTTCTCTAACTCCCGTAATTCTTAGAATTTCGAACTAAAATTTATTTATTTATGGAAATACCGCCAGTTAGTTATTATGTGTCCGTATGCCAAGTTTCACTATGATAGACCGATTTCACAAGAAGTTATAGCCATAAATTATTTGCTGCTGCAGTGCTGCTCAAGCGCTGCCCGCGGCTGTTGTTAATGTTGCTGTTTGGTTGACGGCTAACATGTTTACACAGACACGAATAGATGCGCATAGGCATACATACACTCACACAGACGCAATTGCTATGTAAATGTGCAATAATACACCCTTTACGTGAGTTCGAATACCGAGAGAGGTAAAATAGATCAAATTGTTTTTTTAATTTTCTTAATTATAGCCTGTACCCAAAGGGTGAAAGGCTATACTAACTTTGTGGGCATGTATGTAGCACACAGAAGGAGGCGTGGCAGACCCCACAAAGTATATATATTCTTGATCAGGATGAGAAGCCGAGTGGATATAGCCTTGTCCGTCCGTCCGTCTGTCTGTCCGTATGAACGCAAATATCTCAGAAAGTATAAGAGCTAGAATAACCAAACTTGGTTTCCATATTCTCCTAAGACCGAGAAAGTACGAGTTTGAGTTTTTTTCGATGCACCCCCCCACTCCTCCGCAATTCGTGTTTTTTCTTATAACTTCCGTAATTCTCAATTTTGGTAGGTACATCCAGTTAGTACTAATGTGTCCGTGTGCCAAATTTCATCATGATAGGTCAATTCTGAAGAAAGTTATAGCCATAAGTAAAATCGCTGCTCATGCGCTGCCTGCAGCTGCACGCAGCTGTTGTTGTTGTTTCTGCTTTGGTTCAACTTTGTGCTGCATACATACACGCATATAAACACGCATAGGTACGTGATGTAAATGTATGCTGTTAAAACTGAACATTAACATGTATTCTAATTTAATTTAATTAATTAATTAATTCTTTCATTTTTTTAATAATTTAATTTAAAAATTTTTTTTTTTTAATTTTTCTTTTTTGTGGAGAGTACAGGCTATTTTACTGTCGGGCTTGCTCGACTGTAGCGTTCTATCTTGTTTTTTATTTTTTATAATTATTGTAAACATACGTACAGAGTATTTCAAAGTCGGGACACTCGACTTTTGCTTTTTTACTTGTTTCTTCTTATGCAAAGGCAAACACAATTTCGATAAGTTTCGTAATCATTTTAATTTAATAATTGCGTAAACATATGTTTGTACCTATGAGGTATAGATTTTTTTATTTTCATTAATTAATTAAAAGTACTTAATGAAATGTGTATATTCAATTTGTGTTTTGGCGCTCATTGTACATTCGATGTTATGATATCAGTTATGTTAACGCATTAATGTATAGTTAAGAAACATCGCTAACAACAAGTAAAAGGCTTATATTAATACAACTTGCTCAACACGTATGAAGCAGCTGTGGCCGAGCGGTTAAGGCGTCTGACTAGAAATCAGATTCCCT